AGTCGATTGCGCAATCACGTAGATATACCAACTAGACGGTCGCATTCCACACACACAATACACATCTAATGGTAATATTGACGTCAGAGAGCCAGAAGCAGCGCTCGAGAGTCACGAACATCGTCGTCGCGTTTGCGTCTCAACAAGCTGTACCCTCACGGTCCATTGACGAGCCCATTGTTGACCAGACGCATGATGCTCCGGTCGCCAGGATCTCGTATATTCTGCTGGCCAGCATGGTTTCTTTTGCAACAGGTTTGTCGACACAGCTACTCCCGCGCGCATCATTCACTTGTCAAAAAGAAGAAGGGTCACACGGCGTCAATAGTATCGTGCTGCTGCAGTCGAGACAAAGCACTCCAGCTGTCCATTCGAGACACACAACACAACACAACACAACACTCTTGTCGTCACAATGTGCAGCTGCATCACGGACAGATGAACGTTTGTGGATGAGGTGCGGCCAGCCATGCAACAGATCAACCGACCAGTCCGTCGCAAGTGAGCAGACAACCGTTCGTCATGTCCATTCGTCTCCGATTCGACTGCTTCAGTCGGCAAGTCACGATGGTCGTTCTTTCCTGCTCGACTCCCGCAATGACAAGAGAACGGTTGTGACCACACGTTTCTGTTCCGTTTGTTCCGTGTGTTTGTATTCACCCGTGGGATGGTAGTGCAATCAAACAAATCATCGTCGTCTGCAGCCACTCGAGCCAATGAACCAATTCAAACCGTCATTTGATGCTCAGATACTGTGAGTGGATCGATATCGTTCCATGATCAGACACTGTGCTTGGATTGAGATCGTTCCATGCAAAGATACTGTGCTTGGATCGACATCGCTCCATGTCCTTCGTTGCAGGTGATCGCGCCCGAAAGTCACGGAAGCACCGCTGAAATCGAATTGTTTACCACCGAAGGCAAGCATAATCGTACCGCGGACGAAGAAGATTTGCGGTTGCACGTCGTATCTGGTATGTCTTGTTTCCAGTCGTTCAACCACGAGCCATCCACTCGGTCATACCGTTGCCCCGCGCGCGTGGATATTGTCTTCTCTCGCTGATCGAACGGATTCGACCATGGGCATGCGAGATTTGTCGAATGCCGATGCTAGACAACATCTCCTTGTACACGCACCGCACCGTCGCGACGTCCGCGCGACGTCGACACCGACACGAAGCAGCAAGCCGTTCAACAACGCAAATCGGTCCTATACAGGATGGGATGAGTGCAGACTACTGACAAGACGCAGCAGACAAATCTGTGTTTGGGAACCTTGACGCAAACAAGGCAGGAAAAAATGGAGCCGAGCGGCCGAGACGGGAGCATTTGTGTGCGTGTTTTGTAAAACAACAGCGGCACGTCTATGTACCGCCAAGGAACGCCCGAAGCAAGACTTCGATACTGCACGTCATTTCCGTCCATTTCAGCCGGAATTGCTTCCCATGACCCTCGATCTTTCAACGAGGCAACTTGTCCACTCGCCATTCCTTCCAGCCTGTGTTCGGTGACGTAGTCGATTGCGCAATCACGTAGATATACCAACTAGACGGTCGCATTCCACACACACACTACACATCTAATGGTAATATTGACGGCAGAGAGCCAGAAGCAGCGCTCGAGAGTCACGAACATCGTCGTCGCGTTTGCGTCTCAACAAGCTGTACCCTCACGGTCCATTGACGAGCCCATTGTTGACCAGACGCATGATGCTCCGGTCGCCAGGATCTCGTATATCTTGCTGGCCAGCATGGTTTCTTTTGCAACAGGTTTGTCGACACAGCTACTCCCGCGCGCATCATTCACTTGTCAAAAAGAAGAAGGGTCACACGGCGTCAATAGCATCGTGCTGCTGCAGTCGAGACAAAGCACTCCAGCTGTCCATTCGAGACACACAACACAACACAACACAACACTCTTGTCGTCACAATGTGCAGCTGCACCACGGACAGATGAACGTTTGTGGATGAGGTGCGGCCAGCCATGCAACAGATCAACCGACCAGTCCGTCGCAAGTGAGCAGACAACCGTTCGTCATGTCCATTCGTCTCCGATTCGACTGCTTCAGTCGGCAAGTCACGATGATCGTTCTTTCCTGCTCGACTCCCGCAATGACAAGAGAACGGTTGTGACCACACGTTTCTGTTCCGTTTGTTCCGTGTGTTTGTATTCACCCGTAGGATGGTAGTGCAATCAAACAAATCATCGTCATCTGCGGCTACTCGAGCCTATTAACCGATTCAAACCGTCATTTGATGCTCAGATACTGTGAGTGGATCGATATCGTTCCATGATCAGACACTGTGCTTGGATTGAGATCGTTCCATGCAAAGATACTGTGCTTGGATCGACATCGCTCCATGTCCTTCGTTGCAGGTGATCGCGCCCGAAAGTCACGGAAGCACCGCTGAAATCGAATTGTTTACCACCGAAGGCAAGCATAATCGTACCGCGGACGAAGAAGATTTGCGGTTGCACGTCGTATCTGGCATGTCTTGTTTCCAGTCGTTCAACCACGAGCCATCCACTCGGTCATACCGTTGCCCCGCGCGCGTGGATATTGTCTTCTCTCGCTGATCGAACGGATTCGACCATGGGCATGCGAGATTTGTCGAATGCCGATGCTAGACAACATCTCCTTGTACACGCACCGCACCGTCGCGACGTCCGCGCGACGTCGACACCGACACGAAGCAGCAAGCCGTTCAACAACGCAAATCGGTCCTATACAGGATGGGATGAGTGCAGACTACTGACAAGACGCAGCAGACAAATCTGTGTTTGGGAACCTTGACGCAAACAAGGCAGGAAAAAAGGAGCCGAGCGGCCGAGACGGGAGCATTTGTGTGCGTGTTTTGTAAAACAACAGCGGCACGTCTATGTACCGCCAAGGAACGCCCGAAGCAAGACTTCGATACTGCACGTCATTTCCGTCCATTTCAGCCGGAATTGCTTCCCATGACCCTCGATCTTTCAACGAGGCAACTTGTCCACTCGCCATTCCTTCCAGCCTGTGTTCGGTGACGTAGTCGATTGCGCAATCACGTAGATATACCAATTAGACGGTCGCATTCCACACACACACATACACATCTAATGGTAATATTGACGTCAGAGAGCCAGAAGCAGCGCTCGAGAGTCACGAACATCGTCGTCGCGTTTGCGTCTCAACAAGCTGTACCCTCACGGTCCATTGACGAGCCCATTGTTGACCAGACGCATGATGCTCCGGTCGCCAGGATCTCGTATATTCTGCTGGCCAGCATGGTTTCTTTTGCAACAGGTTTGTCGACACAGCTACTCCCGCGCGCATCATTCACTTGTCAAAAAGAAGAAGGGTCACACGGCGTCAATAGCATCGTGCTGCTGCAGTCGAGACAAAGCACTCCAGCTGTCCATTCGAGACACACAACACAACACAACACAACATCTTGTCGTCACAATGTGCAGCTACATCACGGACAGATGAACGTTTGTGGATGAGGTGCGGCCTGCCATGCAACAGATCAACCGACCAGTCCGTCGCAAGTGAGCAGACAACCGTTCGTCATGTCCATTCGTCTCCGATTCGACTGCTTCAGTCGGCAAGTCACGATGATCGTTCTTTCCTGCTCGACTCCCGCAATGACAAGAGAACGGTTGTGACCACACGTTTCTGTTCCGTTTGTTCCGTGTGTTTGTATTCACCCGTGGGATGGTAGTGCAATCAAACAAATCATCGTCGTCTGCAGCCACTCGAGCCAATGAACCAATTCAAACCGTCATTTGATGCTCAGATACTGTGAGTGGATCGATATCGTTCCATGATCAGACACTGTGCTTGGATTGAGATCGTTCCATGCAAAGATACTGTGCACGGATCGAGGTCGCTCCATGTCCTTCGTTGCAGGTGATCGCGCCCGAAAGTCACGGAAGCACCGCTGAAATCGAATTGTTTACCACCGAAGGCAAGCATAATCGTACCGCGGACGAAGAAGATTTGCGGTTGCACGTCGTATCTGGCATGTCTTGTTTCCAGTCGTTCAACCACGAGCCATCCACTCGGTCATACCGTTGCCCCGCGCGCGTGGATATTGTCTTCTCTCGCTGATCGAACGGATTCGACCATGGGCATGCGAGATTTGTCGAATGCCGATGCTAGACAACATCTCCTTGTACACGCACCGCACCGTCGCGACGTCCGCGCGACGTCGACACCGACACGAAGCAGCAAGCCGTTCAACAACGCAAATCGGTCCTATACAGGATGGGATGAGTGCAGACTACTGACAAGACGCAGCAGACAAATCTGTGTTTGGGAACCTTGACGCAAACTTGGCAGGAAAAAAGGAGCCGAGCGGCCGAGACGGGAGCATTTGTGTGCGTGTTTTGTAAAACAACAGCGGCACGTCTATGTACCGCCAAGGAACGCCCGAAGCAAGACTTCGATACTGCACGTCATTTCCGTCCATTTCAGCCGGAATTGCTTCCCATGACCCTCGATCTTTCAACGAGGCAACTTGTCCACTCGCCATTCCTTCCAGCCTGTGTTCGGTGACGTAGTCGATTGCGCAATCACGCAGACATACCAATTAGACGGTCGCATTCCACACACACATACATATCTAATGGTAATATTGACGTCAGAGAGCCAGAAGCAGGGCTCGAGAGTCACGAACATCGTCGTCGCGTTTGCGTCTCAACAAGCTGAACCCTTACACGTCGGTCTACCGGCCTATATTTTACAAATTATGTCGTGGTGTATGCATAATTTAATCCTTACAGGCCTATGTAAGTCGTTGGTCTGAACAATAACCTTTTCATGTTTTAGATTACCCTTTGTTCGCTTGGCTGTACTGCCACGCAATAATGAATTAGATTTTGGGAATGAGTGTTCAATATGGATGATTGTTGGCCATACACATAAGTAAACGATGGTGGGAAGCTCGACGAGTTAAAAAAAGGTCATTTCTCGACGTGATGATAGGAGTCGAGCTCTTAATAAATGATGTACTGTTTTGTCAATATTTGCCCATCGATGGCAAAAGTCGAGCTGGAATCTCCGGTGGTCGTACTTGTGCTGCCTGGTCTGCCTGTGCGAGCGAAGGATCTACCTTTACAGTCACTGAAGTGTGCGAAAGTCGCGTATCTTCATGCGTCAGCATTTCATCCCCCGGCATCGAATGTGGCGGCAAGAGCGCGGTATGGTTGGGATCGGAAGGTGTACGACGGTATGAAATGACGGTGAATTCTGGTGACGTCACGACGTGAAGTACTCGATAGAGATCTTTATAAGCTTGGCGACTCGTAAAGCTTACAAAGTCGTCGTTCGCATCAACAGCACAGTGCTCAAAGACGTAAGCCTTCAGGACATGTTTCATCAATCGCTGAGCCTTGTTGGCGCCACTCTCCCAGTCGTAATACCAGCGGGAAAACGGTTTGCCATTCAAATGGAACACGAGCAAAATCTGCTCATCAGATGACATTCCTGGAGCACGAAGGGCGGCCACCAGTCCAGACGGACGATCACGTATTCCCTCGACCCACTGGCCTTCCAAATTGTCTTCGGATTGCGTCCCAGCCGCCATCGTTTCGAACTCGATGCACTCGCTGGGTCGGAGACTTACGTCATTCACAGCCTCGAAGCGTGCGAAGACAGCTATGTTCTCACAAGGCAGCGGATCTGCCGACGCGGCAGATTGAGATACCGATAAATCTACGCGTACACTCAAAGAAGTGCCGCAGTAGCTGCGGTCAATATGCTCAGGGCAGCAGTGTGGGAAGCACCTTTACGAACAAACAGCGAATGTGATCAGTCCCTGCTAGCGATTCATATGGCCCTGGACCATTCCCGACGAGCTTGCAAAAACGCTGTCGTCTCACCTGATGATTTTGAGGCCCTTCGTGCGATTGCTCCTATAGCAAAAAACGAAGGTTCTGATGGTTAGAGTTGACTCTCTTTGACATGTGGTTCCTCTGAGCCAATGCGCTACAAGTGCGCAGCAGTGCACGCCACTTTTCGTACCGCTTGTACTCGGACTGGAAGAGCTGAGGATGGCTGCACTCGATACGGAAGAAGGACGCGGAGGACACCTCGAGAGGGAGAAGCGGGGGCGTCCCGGGCATACTACTGTATTTTTAGATTGTGGCCTCGGACGGTCTCGTCTTTTTAGGAGTTTTTGCCCGCGGAGAAAGACAATACGTCTTTTCAGTGACAAATCCGAGACTGGAGTGCACACGGCACTATCGCTGACTGATCCGAGTGCCAGCGCTGCGACAGACTGCGTCAAACTACCTCCTACTGCACGGCTGAAGAGGTCATTGTGTCCACGACCACCTGTCCAGGTCATAGTTATTCCGAATCCACATGAATTTGCTGATGTCTCAGTTAAAACAGGGCATTACCGATAACGCATATATTGGTCCTTTAGACCGAGGAAGACACATCAAAAGTGTCCACTCCGCTATGGACAAAAGTAATTGCAGCCGTCTACTCAAACTCGTACTTCCATGCGCGACGATCTCAAGTGCGCCAGATCCTGAGCGGACAAGATGTCATAGGATGGAATGATTTCGTGGCACAAATGCGAGAGACGTACGTCAGTGTCTCAGGATACCCTCGGGCACCTCGATCACTTGCAAGACGTCAGCGTGGTCACGCTTGCGACAGCTCGAATGGGCTACTGAGCCTCATTGAGAGAAGTTGGAACACCGAGTGGATCCTGGACGTTGATGAGGTATGGTGGCAGCCTAGCCAACCGGCTGTGAAGGCTGGCGATGATTACAGTGCCAACAGCGACAAGTTCGCCGTACCTGTAAACAACGCCACCACCACCACCACCGATAACGTCGCTAGTGATGATTCGCTCTCGGCGTCGACAATCTTCCAGCTCATTTCGCATATACTGCGTCCAGAGTTGGCCTTGGACATCCAATCGAGCACGTTGCATCTTCGCTCGAGGCTGAGCGTAGCAGGACCACTTGATTTCATGCGCGCTGGCATTGGACCGTAATTAAAACTTCCGACAATCTCGTGGCGTCGAAGTAGATTGTTAGCTTAGCAGGCTTCAGATAGTATATGAAACATGTTAACATATCATAAGTGTAACGGGGCACACCCTTGCGTGAACTTAACGCAAGGGTATCGTGCCCCGACAAGCGTACACGAGGCAAACGAGGAAGCGTAGATAAGGGAAAAGTAAAACTGTTATATTAATATAATTAAGTCTTTAACCACTGTCTCTCTGTTTGACTTAACTTAATTATTCTAATCTAACTGAATGTATGACGACGTCTACTCACCACTCATTGCGCGCGTCTTGCGGCGATTGGTGGGTTGATATCATCAAGATATCAACCGAAGAGCATACTCTTTGGTCGACCCATCAATATCACCACTTCGGTGATATTGTTCAAAGAATATTCAACTTCATATTCTTTATTGTCATTATCTCTCAAATGACAATTTCCATGTAACGGGCTGCCCCGTTGCATCACCCCCCTTAACTGATAGTCACCGTGTTACTATCAAAAATATGGCGGCCACCCGTTGGTCACCATTGGGACAGGGAGCACTTGTTGGGTCAGTTCCGTTCACTAACTCGACCTGACCTCGCATAGTTAACATGTCCATGCGGGGTTACTCAAGACACGCACAGCCCGCTGCTATGCCAGCCTCTGCGGCAGACGATTTGTCGTCTGCTGCTCGTTCTCCGCCTGCAGCAACAGGTGCTGCAGGTGCACGCGGTATCACACCGCGTGCGCATGATGACCCTGACATAGAGGTCATCTATTCTGGCGGGTCAGACGTGTCTGACTCGGAAAAGCCTTTGGAGGCATCGCGTTCACCTGCGGTGCCTCATTCATCCACGAAACTGCCGGACGTACGGACTCGTGACATGCGTCACAGTCTGTTCGGCAGAGATGATGAATCTGATGTTGAGTATGATTGCTCATCACCGCGATCAGCTCGTGCTCCTTCGCACGAGCGACTTGACGATAGTGCAAGCCATCGTCGTACTGACAACCGTGGTACCGACAAGGGTACCACTGTGAAGCGTGATGAGCTGAAGCTGTGGCGTTTGCCTGAACGGCTCATCAATGGCTTGTCTCACAAGACAAGCCAACACCATCGAATACCCTTATTCGATGCGACTGAGCTTCACGGCTTGGATCCCAGCGCGAGTAACTTTCGCGCTGATGAAGACTTTAAACTCGATGTCTTCCTTAGACATCGATGGTACAATGGCAACCAAAAGCGTGACAAGGCCTCGCTTTTGGCTGCGTGGAACGCCTTCGTCCAAAATGTCAAGAACTTTGGACGAGAAGGGTGGCTCAAGAAACTTGAGGCAGTATGCCTCAGGCTCGAAAAGCGAACGCCAACCGGTGCCATGTACCGGTGCATCGGTTATCAAGTGAGGCCGGAATTCCATGCCTCACTTGGGGAGACCCTTGTGCGAGTTGTGTTGACAACTCGCAGCGTGCACAGAGGGACGTTTATTCCCTAGATTCGCCCTGGGGAAGGACACACATCTCGGCTGAGATGCGTGACGCGATTGCAAACTTGCAATCCGTCTACAAGCGCCTAGGGCGCGTGTTTACCGATGGGCCTTCGGACCAATCGGATGAGTTTTGTCATACTGGCGGACGAGACCTTCAACGTCCATCAACATCTGAGAGCGGGGCTCCCAGCTATTCCAAGAGGGTGGATACCCCCGCCACTGGACGAGGTAGCTCGTCCTTGATCCTGAATCGTCACGGTGGTTCAAGATACGCTCCACTAGAAAGCGTTGACCACCGTGAGAATCCACCAAAGGATGTGGTGGAGGAGGAAAGACCTCCTCCAGATGATTCTGCTCACCATCTCGACCCTTACGAGATGGATCGCGCAATCGATGAATTGCGCGATGACTTGAAGCACGAGCGCGACCGGCGCTACGCTTTGACTGATACCGTGCGGAAGAACCGCAAGGATCGCGAGGCTGATCGGGCGAGAGACCGTGCCGATTACGCCACAGCGCAGCTTCAGGTCGAGCGGGATGTCCGCTCCCTATTCGGCGAGCTGGCGACAGCTCGCGGGGAGATATCTCGGTTGAGTTCCGAGGTATCTTATCTGCGCGACCAGACGGATCGTCTGGAGCGCGAACGCAAGAACTTGATGGATGTTCTTGAACGTGGGGGCTATCTTCACCGGAAGAAGAAGGCTCGTACTGACAGTACGGCCTGAGCCTCCCCACGTAAAACGTAGGATGCGTGCGCATCTTACGTGGCAATTCGAGTGTGTATGCATTGCCCTTGCGATGCAACACTCGAAATGGCCCAATGTACCTCGGCAGTAGTTTACTACTGCCGACACTAGTGACTGCGTGTCCAGGTAGGTTTACCGTAGACAGTAGTACTAGGTCATTAACATTAAATGAAAGAACATTTGCTCTCCCATTCTTGTCTGCGTTCCGTTTCTGAAGGTCCACCGCATTTGCGATGGAGTCCTGAACGAAACGGACTACCGCTTCTCGAGTCAGCAGGAAGTTCTCTGCTGACTCTTTGTTTTGTCTTTCAGTGCGCTTCGTGCGCACTGCTAAAAGATTGTTCTCTTCTTCAGCGAGGTTGTCTTCTTCCTCGCTGGCATAATCGTTGACGATGCTGAATATACCAGCATCGTCATCATCATCCGAGTCAGTAATAGCGTCGCCGCTATGACTGAGGTGATCTTCTTCATCGATGTCGACTTGATCGACATCGGCATCATACGTGACGACGTTAGCGCCGACACGTGATGAGCAAGAGCCAAAACGGTTTGTGCTCGAGCGAGTCCCTCCCCCCTTATCCAAGAGTCACACTCTAGAAGGGTGGGCACACGTGGATGGCGCAGGCCATTCACGTAAAACGGTGTGTGCTGTGTGGAAGCATGCACCGAATTATTGATGGCGAATTCCACCATGGGTAGGAATTCGCTCCAACTCGAAAACGAGTGGACATATCCTCGAAGGATCTCTTCGAGGACACGGTTCGCACGTTCCGTCTGACCATTTGTTTCGGGATGGTCAGAAGTAGACATCTTCAATCGTGTTCCCAATGTGCGGAACACGGTTTGCCAAAATGCCGCCGTGAACCGAGGGTCACGGTCGGATACGAGTTCACGGGGTAAACCGTGGAGTCTAAAGACCGTGTCTAGAAAGACACGAGCACAACCTTGAGCCTTGATCGACTCAGGGACTGCACCAATATGCACCATCTTGCTGAATCGGTCAACAAACACAAGAATACCATTATTCTTGTGAGCGTCTTCGGGAAAACCGAAGACGAAGTCCATTGAAACGGACTGCCAGCACTCTGTCGGAACAGGCAGAGGCTGCAATGGCGCACGGGATGAAGGACTAGGCTTCACCCGTTGACAAACCTCGCAAGCACGTATGTACTTGCGGACAAACTGATACTGGCGTGGCCAGTAAAAGTCACGACTTACCGTGAGGTAAGCCTTTTCTCTACCACGATGACCGGCTGTTGGGGCATCGTGACACTCATACATGATGCGTAATCGCAAATCATTATGAGTTGGGGAGACGACACGAGGCGTGTCGCCGTCAACGGCTGTATAATATAACAGTCCGTTACGCGTTGTGTACCGATCCGATGAGGATCGGTACAAAGCCGGTAAATCCTTCAATTATCTACTGGATTTGGGCACCAGATGATCCATTAATCGCAGAAGATCCTTATCTTCTGCGTATGCATTTCTTACGTCGTCAAGTAAGCTTGACGACGGAACACTGGCTGTCAGTGTCGCAACAGTGGGCTTATCCTCACTGTTGAATGGTGCGACCGGCTCGAAATCGGGCCGGCGCGAAAGCGCATCAGCGACGACGTTTAGTCGTCCTGGTTATATACTCCACGGAGAAGTTGGACTCCGCGAAGAAAGGCAGCCACCTCGCCATTCTCTGCGAGAGGCGTGGGCTGTTTACGGCCGTGAGTAGTGACGCATGGTCGGTATACACGATGAACGGTCTATCTCCCAAGAGATAGACCCGGAACTTAGCCAGTGCATATTTCATGGCAAGGAGTTCCTTGTCATGCACTGGGTAATAACGCTCAGCTGCTTGCAGCTGACGCGACTGATAACAGATGAC